GTTTTTTTTTTTTTTTTTTTGATGTCTCATAGTATAACTGTGAAAAAAAGTGACATAGTTTGCAAAACGCCTTTCATCTTAAACTGTGAGAAAAAGTGACATAGTTTGCAAACGCCTTTCATCTTTAACATTTCTGAGACTGCTCTAGAGCCGTGTCATTTTTCTTGAGAAATTTCGATTATTGAAAGTTGCTGTTTCTTTAAAAAAGGTAGGGAATAATCAGAGCTCACCGCGAATTTGGGGTGTTGATGATTTCTTCTTTAAAACTCTGTGAATGAATAATCTATCAAGCTTCATCCCAAAACTCGCTGAAAAGTATCCCTTCGACGAATCGAGGGTAGAATTAAAAAGTTAATTTTTCAGGGAAGAAGTGAATAAATTTGCCTCGAAATATGATCGGCGAGTTCTAATAAAAGGAACACTTACGGTGAGAAATTTAATATCTTTGAACTAATTTTTGATGGAAGAGTGCCGGAACGTTAAGGAATACCGTGGGCCGAGATTATATCTTCGAAAATTCTGTGACGGCCCGAAGTGGAATTCAAATTAATTTTCTGAAGATTTCCCATTCGACCTCACGGCATGCTCCTGAGTTCTTTTATGAGAGGGTGAAGACTGCTGACACGCGACACACGACGATGAAGGTAGCCGCAGCAAAGGAGGATACGCCATCGCGCGCCTGGTGTCTTCAGCTTCCAGGCACCGTGGACCAGAAGTTCTGGAATGTCGTGTACTTGGGAATATGCTTTCTTACTTCATCTGCCGCCAGCTCTACCATCACAAATCTGCAGGTAAGCTTTTCTTAAAATTAGAGGGGCTTGGAAGGCAAGGCGCATAAGTGCAGTTATTGCTATTTCGAGAAACACGTGTTTGAAGTTTCGAAATTACATGGATCCTCTATGGCGGAAAGAAAGTTCAAACTGAAATTTTGATGCTTAAAATTGGAATTTGGGAGCTCATTTTTCACAGAATATGCATTAAGACTAGTTTTACTCGAAATCATTAATATCTCAATTTTTTGAGAAACTGCACTCATGTGCCCTGTCCTCCAAGCCCTTCATTTACACTACCGAAAGGACCGTGAATGAGGCCACGGGTCAAAATGTATCGACATTAATTGAGGGGCTTGGAGGACAAGGCGCATAAATGCAGTTTTTGCTATTTCGAGAAATACGTGTTTGAAGTTTCGGAATCACGTGGATCTTTATGGCGGGAAGGAAGTTCAAACTGCAATTTTAATGCTCAAAAATGGGAATTTGGGAACGTATTTTTCACAGATTATGAATTAGGACTATTTTATTTTAAAATCATTAATATCTCAATTTTTTTCAAAAACTGCACTTATGCGCTTTGTCCTCCAAACCCCTCTATAATAATTTGAATAATTGACCACCTAATTCAGCGAACTTTTTACTGGAATACCGAGACAATAGACCACAATCATTATGATCGACATAATTCGATGGAAGCAACGAACCTATGTTTCTCTAATATATGTATATTAAGTCTGGTTATCATATCCATGGCCAAAGAGCGAAACCACATATCTCCATTTGCGACGTCCCATACTTTAAGTTACAATTTAGTTTTTATTTAGAAAACTAGTTAATTTAATTGCTTGAAAAGTCCCCCGATTTTTCTTCTCTAATAGCAGAATATTCCGTAGAAATTTCAAGCTACATGGTTAAGTTGTATTTCTCCTCGAAAAAATAAAATAGAAGTAGAGATTTTGAAACATCGCAATGGAGATACGTGGTTTCGTATTTTAGACATGGATATGATATGAGGGATGATACCACAATCCTACCTTGGTAAAAATTGGCAGTATAATCTGTGTTCCAAAATACCATCGACCTACAGCCGGCTGTAAGATTTCCAATAGCTTCTATAGCCGGCTACACAATTTCTTATAGCCTTTTATAGTCGATGGCGATTTAACAACAGCCAGGCGATAAAGTGTATGCTAAACGTATAGGACTTAGTGAGTTTTTGAACTACTGCTCTATTTTTGGGCCGTAGTATCTTGATTTATTTTGCGAGGAAAGCTCCGTACTTTTGATGGATGCCTACCATTCCTAATATATTAGAACGCCTTCAGTTTCGTATGATACTGTGCAATACCTCTGGTGTGAAATAGTTGCTTCCAGCGCCGTGGCAGGCGGGCAGCCAGCGCAAAACGCGCGTTGGCGCCTACAAACCTAACAGGGATACTTCACGCGTTGCGCAATGCGTGAAGTATCCCTGTTAGGTTTGTAGGCGTCAGTGCGTCGCCGCTCCGCTTTGTGTCAGGCTCTAATATTTAATCTGGCGGAGTCAGCGTTCTTCAACTCATGATTTTGAAATGTTTGCACATCCTGTATGGATGATTCTCTTTTTAATTGATGAAAAAAAATATGTATTGAAGGAAAATATAATGTGTGTTTTGTAAAAAGGTGGTTCCGTATCAAACTTAATGATTTCCAAAGCACACGAATTTCTACACAGTTTCTTATAGCCTCTTATAATCAATGGCAAAAAAGCAACAGCCAGGCGATTAAGTGTAAAGCCCGGCGATAGGAACTATAGTCCGGCTGCATACTTTTTTATCGCTTCGTATAGCCCGGCCGTATGATTTTCTCCGCCTTCTACAGCCAGCTATATGATTTTCTGTAGCCTTTTTTAGCCGGCTATGAGAATTCATATGGTATTTTGAAACGCAGCTCTTATCGCCAATTTTTACCAGGGTACCACGTGGAAGCTCATGTTGGCTACACTAAAAATTGAAGGCGAACTAAAATGGCGCTAAAATAACCTCTTTCGGTATGGTAAAAGCCTTTTTTGAGTGAGTTCCGAGTGAGTGTGCTATCTCACGATGATACCACTATCCAACTTCTTTCTCAATTCTTTTTTCTATCTTCTACTTCCTCTATTTGTCTTATTTTTTACCTCTTTCCCACGTCCCTCTTCTTTTTTCTTTTTTCTTTTTTCTTCATGTCTCTGCTCTTCATTCACTTTTCTCCTTTTTTCTATATTTTCTTCATTTTATTTTCTTCCCTTTCCCTTCATATTTACCATTTGTTCTTCTTCTTCATCTTCGCTCACTTGCTTTTATTGCTCCTTCCTTCTTCATCATCCTCATTTCTTCTTCAACCTCTGTCCCTCTTCTTCTTGTCTTCTTCTTTTCCTTTCTCCATCTTTTCTTCTTCAACTCTTCTTATTATATCCTTCGCTTTTCTATCTCTCTTTCTTCTTTTCCTTTATTGATTTCTCGTCTTCTCCTCCCTCATTTCTTCTTCTTCTTTCTCCCTTCACTTCTTTTCCTTTTCTCTTTGTCCTTCTCTTCCCGGGCATATGCTGAGAAGAATTATATTTGCTTCATCTTTTATTTCCAACGGAAATTATTACCCACATAATTATAGCTGGCGTTGCATTAAAGATTTGTGAAGTGCTTGGATGGAATTCACGAGGTTGCATGGAAAAGTGCTGGAAACCATTGTCTAATGAAAAAGATGCGGGCAGACGATTTTTATTCTTAAATTAAAAGTCACAGCCTTGCCGTATGTAACGTTGCCCTTGATTCTTTGTGCATCAGCATCGAAATGTTTATCGCGCCTCACTCTACCGACGATAGCTGCAAAGTAAATTTAGAAAACAAACCAGCGGCAAAGTTGTCAGATCATTTTTGAAAAACTTTAAATTTCTTTAAGCATCGGTGATTTTTTTTTGCACGTCTCTTATTGAGATGTCGTACCTACATTGTAACATTCTATGTGTATCAAAGGAATAAAGTGATTAGTCTGTTCAAAAATTAGCGATTTTCAAACGTCTCAATTACCAGGCGTTCCGATTTCATGCCTAAATTATTGGTCAGTACTTTATAGAATAACCGCCATATCACTGAAATATGTTGAAACAGTGCAATCAAAGTACAATAGCAAGATTGGATTTTATAATTACTTTTTATCTCGATCATTGTAATCTATCTTCCAAAAAAAGGGTGGCATATACGAATGCACTAGGTGCGATTAGACTAGAAACGCTAATATGAGAGGATCGGAATAATTGCATAGGTTATACAGAATAAGAAGAAGGGAGGAGAAAGCGGGGAAAAAATGAAGAGAGGAAAGTGAAAACTGTATACAGCTTAGCCTCTATTACTTAAAAATTTGCAGGGGGGTTTAATTTTTGAGAACAAAAACCGTGAATAATAATGAAGCCTAACGATTCTGACTACTTTTATTCATTCACTTCAATATAATCAGGTTTATGCACTGGAAAAAAAAAGAATCTTAAATTTGTCGCCAAGAATTATTTCTTCTTAAATCAAGAATTTTGATGGTTAATATAAGCTACTTTTTTGCTTAACCCAAGCATTATTTTTCTTAAATCAAGAAAAAGTCAGCTTAAAGCAAGATAAAGAAAATTCTTGGCGGCAAATTCGAGAATTATCATGCTTGATCCAAGCTACTTTCTTTTTCAGTGTAAGGTCACAATACCACTTCCGATCAAATTATTTGCAACTCGCATGAATAATTGATCCAAAGGCGCTGAACTTTGGAAAGAACAATCATCTTTCCGAGGAAAACAGAACTTTTGATTTTATCTCGCGCTGCTATTTGAGTATCATTTATTTTTCAGTATTGAGTATAAAGAATCTTGGGTTGACTCTTAGTCCTCATTCAAATGCTTGGATGAATAGAAAATAGAACCACCGCAATCCTCCCGCAAGATATCTGTCCCAAACATAGTATTGTCAACATGCCTTTTGCAGGAGAAGTTTCAAATCCATCCCTTATTTTTGATAGACTATGCAGTAAGGTGCGCCCCCTGACTGCTTCGCGGATTAACCTTCTGGGACGCTTTGCGCCTCAGGCGTTGCACGATACTCGTTAGTCTTTTGATTTTATATTATAGAGAAATATATTGTCCACTTAAAGCTGAGCTTCAATTGTTCCGCATAAGTAACGAAACTACTAAAAAGCTCAAAAAGTTAGCCATTCGAAACATTCCGTCACCTCTTTCTTGATGCATGTTGCTGAGTCAAGACGACGTGTGTCTCTGTTCGTGAAGTTCGCCTGCAGTTTGACAGCATAGGCAACATACCTACCGGAGAGTACGAATAGTTATCTACTCGAGAAATGTACATTTATTTCGCTCTTATGATAGAATTAGTTCTCACAATAAGTGTGTAAGCATATTGGAAGATATCGACGGTGAAACTACCACACCACGTGTCTCATTTGCGGTGTTTAAAAATCTCTGCTCCCATTTTATTTTTTTGAAGGAGAACAAATCAATATCATTTCTTGAAATTTTCACAGAGTTTTTTTCGGATATAAAGAGAAAAACACGGAAGATTTCAACAATTGAAGTTGCCTAGTTTTCCATTTAAAAAATAAAGTATGACAGGAAGTCTACAACGTCGCAAACCGAGATACGTGGTCTGGTAGTTTCACCGTCGAAACCGTCCTTTTGTGATTCGCCTTCAATATTGTAGTATAAGCAACAAACATACCGGAGAGCACGAATAGTTATCTATTAACAAAACTTACCTTCGTCTCACTCCCTTAGCAACTTTTAAGGGACTTGTGGTTAGATATTTTTTTGCAACTTGATTCAACTGCGCGGTGGTCCGCGTCATCGTGAAAGAGATGTCTCATGCCCATGTCTAGCAGCACTCCTCCGCGTTGAGAGAGTTGTTGATCTCGTTCACACATCAAGTCGTGATAACAATTTGAAACTTCCGCTACTCCGGAGTGTTGATTAGGCTCATCTGCACATTGCCAAAGTGTCTCTTTAAAGTTTCCAACTTTCGAAGTCACAAAGTCTGGCGTAATTTTGTAGGGAGCGAGTAGGGACATTCAGTCTCATAAAGACCTTTAGGATAAAATGGACTGCATTTTGCAATTTGGAACTATGAATTCTGGCCCAGTTTAAAAAGAACGTATGTGCCAATAGTTTCCCTACGCACATAAGTGTTTTTTTAAGATGAGCCAAAAATTATAGTTCCAAATTGCAAAATGCACTCCAAATGGACCGCGTTCAGCAGAATGGCACAAAGCCACATCAGCTGTTGCTAAATTTAACTGAACAATTTAATTTTTTACAAGAGAACGCTTGTGCGGATATTTCAAAATTTTTGAAGAATTCGCTTTGTACTATGCAGAAAATTTATTGAAATTTGCAAAAAAAAACCGCACAACTGTTTTTACATACAAAACTACATTTCCCAATTAAACTCGACAAAAGCTGATGTGGCTTGGTTCCTTTCTGTTTAAGGCGGTGAAAATAAAATGGCAGCGCCTATCGGAAGTTGCGAATGGAAAGGGTTGGTTCCCAACATTTGATGCTTATCTTCTCCCGCAGTTGTTACCAACTCTGTCGTCATAAGGGCTCTAATTTTTTCTTTTTTTTTCAAATGTAATGCATGGAATTGGTTTGAAAACTGGGACGCCTGTACATGTGTGACTTAAGTATGGCTCGCAGTGAGACACGCGTATAAAACCTCCTTATCTGTACTTAAAATCATCCTAAAGCAACGTCCGCCATTTTTTTTGAATCCTGAAAGCTCTGAAGATAGTTGAGCCAATCAGGAAAGGATCACCCAGTGTCCACACTCTCCTTATAAGAGTATTGTACGCCTGAAAACTATATTTCCTACCAGGAATTTTAAAAGGCCTAGGTGCCGAGCATGCAGTGGTATTAGCCAAGAAAATTCATATCTGGAAAACAAACTATATAAATACGAGGAAAGAGGTGATTAAAATTAATCCAGCTATTTTACTTCGATTTCCAAAATTATAAAATAGAATTGCTGATGATTTAGGTGCTTTGTAGCATATTAACAGACATTTGAAGAATAACGAATAGAAATGGCCATTTCAGAATTAGCTGAGGTTCGGTAGCTTACGGTTTCTCTAAAGGATTCACCATGGTCTAAGACGCAGGTGCGAACAGACGCAGATCACGATTCATTTGCTTATTAATTTATGAAATTTACAGAGAAAAGGAATTCTGGTGGACAGTGCATGATTTCGAAAAGGAGTTTACCGTCTCACTACAACGACCTGATGTGATCTAACCACGACAAAAAACAAAGTCGTACCTTTTACCGGAAACAAGTGTATACCCCTGATATCTTCGATATTTTATGTGATACCTTTGATGATCATAACGAAATATCTCTCTAGCGATACCACTCATACGCACAATTCTCGCATCTAAAATTTAAAAGGCCAGTATTTCTCCAGATAAGTGGCAACATGAGAATTAACTGCAGATAAATGCAATTGCAGAAATGAGGGACGGATGTTTCTTCAGCGACGCAGTCCGCTGCCCGCGGTATCAGGTGCAAACATATCGACGGTGAAATTTCCAAACCACCTATCTTGAGTGCGGAGCTTCAAATTCTCCTCCCTTTTGTCATCTTCATGATGGAGAATAAATCAACATCATTCCTTGGAATTTTTCCAGAATATAACTCTCACAGAGAATAGTGTCGAAGGAGTTTTCAAAGGTCGACGTTCAATAACATAATTTAAATCATAAAGTGTGGCAGGAAGTCTACAGCAACCGAGATATGTGGTTTGAAAACTTCATCGTGATACTCCCATTGCATGCGCCAACTGCACGCGTTGCATAGCTTTGGGTTCTTTCATGAGATACGGAATGCTCTCTGGAGGGGGGGGGGATGCCTAAGCTTGCATTGCAGGAGCGTTACCGTTTACAAGGAAGGAATGGGGTTCTCTGGATCAGGACTGAGTTACGTAATGCTTAACGCCGTAGTTTTGTTACCTTTTCCCCAAAAGGCTTTCATTTTATTTTCTTGTTGTCCCATTTTATTTTATTTTAAAATTTTATTAAATACTATGGGGATAATTTTATTTTAGGATACTTTAATGCTTTCAAAATGTTCGGGCTTCACTCTTATTTTTCCTTGATACTTTCATTTTTCTGCCTCTACTCATTTTTTCACTTATTAAAATAATGGAGGGATAACTGAGGTTAATCAATGATTTTCCTACGTTTTTGAGGTGTCAAGGGGATCGTTACGTATTTTTTCAAGGACTGGTATGGTGGCACGGACAGGGAAGGAAAGGAGTAAAAAGATATTCGATCTCGACCATTACGTTGATCGGTAAACGTTGATTGTTATAAAAAGTTTACATTTCGGGGAACACAGATAATTATATATTAATAATACGATGTAATGGGATCTCCTGAGCAAAACAGTGATGAACGGTTAAGAGACTTGCTGCATGACACTGTGCCACACTGAGCGATTGCCGTAATTGCCTATCATTTGGATGTCAAGGCTTACACAAGTTGATGTTAGTCATTCGATTTCCTCTGAAGAACACACGTTGAGGCATCTGCATATCACGCTTTTCTCTTTCCGGCCATCGACATAACCGTAATATCAACACGTCTCCTGACGCCAACATTTTTCACTTGAAACGGTAGACAGAATCCTATTTGTGTGTAGCGCGCCATTCGCAATGCAACTACCGTCCTGCAAGCCACTCCAATTGAGCTTTATCGCTTGTGAATTAACGTGCACCAAAAAATAATCAAACTCTACTAGTTTTCACAAATACTTTTATTCGTGAAATTATGAAAGGAGGCTTTACAAATGATTTCAAGAGGGATTCCACGGAGTCAAGTAAAACAGTACAATTCTGAACTTTCTTAAGATTTTGACGGATTCGATAAGTCACCTCAACTACATTAGAGGTTGCCTTATCTTCAAAGAAAGCTACAATCTGTCTTAACATTAGGCAACATGAAATAGACTCCATTTTGTAATAAGGAACTGAAGCCGGCTCATTTTAAAAACAGCATAAATGCCATCAGTTGCCCTATGCAGATAAGTGTTTTTACGTACAGTCACTAGGGCCAACTTTGGGCCACCTATGACCACAGTGGGCCAGTGACATATTCGTCATACTCGGCAACCGATTAGATGTTTCTTCTTCTTCTTCTTCTTCTTCTTTGCAACTGCAGCCGACATTGGAAAGCTTATGGCCTCTAGTTTACTTTGTATTCAATAGTTAGTGGACCTGTGAATGATTTTAGATGGCCCAATGTTACACCTTATACCAAATTGGCTCAAGGTTGGCCCTAGTGACTGTATGAGCCATGACATGTAGTTCCTTATTGCAAAATGAAATCCAAATATTGTTAGGCTGATTCTAGTTAAATTCGTCAATATAGGAGCGGACTTAGAGGATTTTAGTGGCTAATATGGCTCTCCGTTTTGACTACAGATCTTTTCTCCAGAAGTTTCAGAGAATTCGCACTAAAATTTAAAATTTGTTACTCTGCAAATTACGAACCTTGTGTGCTCAGGATGTTTTCGCTCGCCCATACGTTCCTTTTGATGGCGTCTCATTTATTGTTTTTCATCGTTTTTTTTTTGCGAACAGGAAATTTATTTTGCGGCGGCGAATTTACTCAGGAGTTCAAGGTCAATCCTCAATTCGGAATATGAGTTGGCAAAAACGACTGAATAGCACGTCGCGCGTCGTTTAATTTTTTTCCAGCTTTGGGAATTATTTACGTTTGTCATCTTTAAGTGTGACTCTCCACAATATAGAAATTTCAGAGTCGAAACATTTAAAATTGGATTCTCGGCAGAAGATAGGCGTGCATGATCGATTTTCGATATTTCCCCATTTTAAACTAAGGTAAAGAATCTATTATTAAAGTGTTCGTTGCGAACACCCTGTTTATCGATCCTTTTTTATAGGTTTAAATAGTAGATCAATCGATATATCGCAAAGCACGCTACGCCACTGATTCTCGGTGTGCAACATTACCAAGGTTTTACAGAAATTTTGCCTGTAAACCCCTCCCCCCTCCCGGCGAGCAAATGGCTAAAGGAATTTTTACTCTGATTGCAGAAGGTTATTTTGGCGGGAATTCACGATGACAACCCCGAATATGATGGAGACGGGTACATTGGGCTTGCGATAAGTTGCAGTTTCACGGCGGTGAGCCTATGGCTGGCGCCATCCTTCCTCACCCTGACCGGCTCCAAAAACGCCCTCATCATCGGTGCTGTAGGTGAGCTGTAAGTAGCACCTGGATCGCCTGCCAATCCCAACATAGGGATTGCAGTGACCAGGGAAGAATTATCGTACGCTGTTATGTTAAGCTTCACAACGAGTTTTAACACTTAAACCTCGTGCTTGTCGACGGTTAAACTGCAAAACCGCGTATCTCCGTCTGCGATGTTGCAGACTGTCCATCATAATTCATTTTTTTAAAATGGGATTATTCTCAATTTCAAATCTTGAAATTCTCCCTTATTCTTCTTCTCTGTTTGAAGAGTAGTATACTGATAAAATTTCAAGCAATAGTGTCGGTGTTTTCTCCATTCATAAAATAAAATGTAAGCGAAAGATCTCGAAACGATGCTGCCGTGCTAAGGAAGAACGGCGTATGAACATTCGAGAGTTGCCAAATTTCCTTCAATTAAATGTTTATTTTTGAGGAAAGCTATGAATCTTTTTTCTTGAAATTTTCGGACATTTTAGATAAGATTACAAACATTTTACCCGAAAAATTGGCAAAAGAAAATTCAAAAATTTTCCTGAAAATTAGTGATTTGCCGGAGGAAATTTGGCAATGCATGGAGGCTCATATGGCGTTTTTCCTCAGCACGGCAGAATGAGAAAAGTTTTTTTGCAGTTTTACCGCCGTCATGACTTTTATTTGAGTCTCAAGCCTCCGCTTTGGTGACGTTTATTTTTAATGTACGCTTTCATAACGCTCATAACGTAGCATGCAGAAAAATCGTAGTGTACCTGACCAAAGGACATAACACCACTCCAAGGTTGTAAAATGGGCATAATTTTCCTCACAAAAATGTGCCGTAGCAATTTTTCTGTAAAATTTTGCTGACTTTTGCATGAGATGGACGTATTTATGCGAAAAGGCGCTAAACGCCATTTCCAAACTTCTCAGTAAAGCAAGTTTGACTAAAACAATTGGCGTTTCCGTACTAATGGACCGATTTTGGTTTACTTTAGCTTGTTTGAAAGCTGAAGAGTTCCTCTAATTACGTACGTTGCCAAAATTAGGAAAAAATGCATATTAAGCGAGATATAGGGGATTTTTGCACGTAGGTCCATTTGATTTAATGCGCTAACCCGGATTCCGAATTAAATCAAA